GGCCGCCTCCTCTCCCCCGCCGGCCTCCCCGCCCAGGACCCAGGTGAGCCTAGAGGGGGGGCTCGGCGCCTGCCCTTCGCGGGGTCCGGCCCTGCCCAGGCGAGTCCCCGAGCCTCAACGCCGCTGCGCAGAGGCCTGGCGACATCCCTGGGTGTCATGCCTCCGCCTCGGCCTGAAATCCCACGGTTTAACGACCCCGAGCACAGGCGGGTTGTTTGCCGTGGGGTTTCAGGGCCTTCTGGGGGAGAGGGGAGGGAGCGCGCTCAGGCTTTTCTCCCAGCCCTTCCCACCAGCGGCTTTGCTTCTGCTTCTCGGTAACGAGAGCTAGCGCCACCTCTCTTGGCGAGGGTCACTGAACCTGGCACCTGAGAGCGTGTGGTGGACTTCAGGGGGCCGGCACCGCTGTTGTAGAGGGGATTTGCCCTTTTCTCAGGGGCAGGCCGAGTACTTAGTTGCCCTGGGGTCAGAGAGCAGGACTATCGCCTTGTACCATCCTTTTTTTCCCCCACTAAACCTAAGTTTTACAGGGAAGTAGCACCAAGATGTTCATCAGCTTTGCACTTCCAAGTGGTGCTATTCAAATTGAGTTCCTCTCCATGACAGGATGTGGAAGGGCCTCTGTTTAGCTTTGGTTTCCTTGAGTATTTTTTTTTTGGTAGTCAGTCTTTTTCCAACGTATAGGTTTATTCAAAATAAAAGTCCTATAAACTGGTCTTATGAATTTGGCTGGGCAAAGTAAACTTTCTTCTTTCATTTTCTGGCTTTCTTCTCTTTGGACAGTGATTTTTAGCATGGGAGAAGTTTCAGCTGGAGTAACTTGTCCAGTTTTGCACATAATGTTCAGAAAAGAGGAATGTATGTGAGCTTGGAGGAGTCTTAGTGGAGAGGAGAATTACTGATAGGTATGTGCACCCATGGCATGAACTTAGGCTATAGACAGTTGTCTTGCTTTTCCTTTTGCTTATTTTTATTTGGATCTTTTAAAAATAACAAAAAGTCATCCGAAAGCAAGTCACAAAGTTACAAAATCTTATACAAAGAATGATCGTTACCTTCCCCTTCCCCCACATCTCATCTCTATTTAAAAAGGTACGTGCTTGGACAAAGGAGGAAATAAAATCCTAATGCACTGGGTAAGGCTTTCAGATTTTGAGGCATGTGTATCAACAGGTACAGAGTCTCAGTTGAAGAAGGTTATTTATGGTGATTCCTTGTGTTCTGGTCCTGCATTTAAGTCAGGATGCTTGTAACTGCAATTTGTAAGAATAACTACCTAAAGTGATGTATTGATACACTCAGTAACGCTTTGGAAGCGCCTAGCATTTTAGAAGCTGGTATTCGTACTGCAGCTTCTACCTATGGACTTGGAAATCAACATTTAAATAAGTATTCATGAAAAACTTGATTCTTAAGTTTTCTTGCTAGAACAAGTTAATAAAGCCTTTTTTAAAGCATTTTTTTTACATATTTTCATTGCTAATGCAAGAAATCATCTCAAGAAGATGAAATCTAACAAAGGAAAGGCCTGCACTAGGGAGAGAGACTTCGTATACAAATTCAGTGCTGGAAATCAAGATTTGGTGCTTACAGTGCCTCTCAGATTCCCTGTGCAAGAGAACATTAATCACCTGCATGGGCGTCTAATACTTCTGCACAATCTACCGTGCTTTATAGAAAATGGTAAGAATCATTTTTTGTAAAGTAGTGTCATATATGTGCATAAATGTATATGTGTGTATAAAATGTCTTATAACATGCTTTAAGAAACCAAAATAAAGTTATTTATAAGAACTATCTCTAAATTTTTTTTAAAATCAGCAGAACCATAGTGAAAAAGACTGTCAGTACTCACTCACAAGAGAAGTGCCCAAGTAAAAGGCTTTCAGAAAAACTTTGTATATTTGCTAGATGGTTATTGATATTTGTATTGAAATTGTTTTGTTGATGGAACGTTCTCTTCTTGTTAAGATAGACCTGAAGCAATTACTTAATAAGTTCATAGAAGAGGAAACTATAAAAGATTATGATAGAGAAGCTGAAATGGCTCTGGAAGCTGTGAAATCGGGTAAAGTAGATATAAACCAGTTGGCAGATACTTGGGCTAAAGCTTATAAAGAGGTAAGATTAAGGCTGAAAAGTTAATATTCACGCTGTGCTTTGTATGAGTGTGTGTGTATGCATGTGTGCATGCACAGATGTAATTACATCTGTGAAGATGTGAAAAGACATTGAAAGTCACTTCTGTTGATCAGTTCATGTAGGGTTTTTTTATCCAAAAGTGATCACTTAGTCTTCATCCTATATGTTCTTAGTCAAGTTTTACTGAATTTATCTTGTGACTGATTTTAAAAAAACTGGTGGAGTCAAAAGATACAAAACAGAGAGGTAACTGGTTAGTGATAGTGAAATAAAAATAGATCTAAGGGTTATGATGTATTAGACTCAAAAGAAATGTTAAAGTGGTACCCCTTTTTTCCCGTAAGGTTCTTTAATACATGTCTTAGGGATATATCAACTGAACTCAATATACTAACTTCATTTGCTGGATTAGACATGCCTGAAGTTGCTTTGCTTTGGCTATTCAGCAAATCCTAAAATAGCTCTGAAGACTGCAAGGGGAACGTGAATGGTTGAAACAAACTTTTTAGCTCGTCTCCTGTGTTTATGTAACTCTTTTACGCTATGTAGGCTGATGAGGGTTTAGCTGGAGTAATGTGTCCAATTTTGCATATAGTGCTCTAAAAAGAGGATCCTAAATGAGCTAGGGGAGTCCTACCTAATGGAGAGAAAAAAGAATGACAGAAATATTAGCCTTTGAGGAAAAGGTTGAAGGTTATCATGAAATAAAGAGTATTGTAAGAAGCTTAAGTATTCCAAAACATAAATGTGTGTCACAAAGAGAATTGTCAAGGAATTTTTTGCCTTGCTGAACATGAACAACATGAAATCAGCTTAACCTTCAGGAAAGAAAAACTGTATTGGATGAGGTTTAGACTGTAACAAAGCGTTGAAAGAGTTTACCTTCTTTTCTTTGCTAGAAATTTCTACCAATAGGGTAGACAACACTTTTGCATGATACTTAAAATCTTGCCGTAGTGCAAGGGTTGGGCTTAGATGATGTCTTGATATTTTTATCTTACACTTCAATGGTACCATCTCTGTTCTTCAGCTGAATCAGGTGGGAATGACTGCAGAAGAAGTAAAGATTGCTTCGGTTTATAAACGCTTGGAAAACTGGCACCTTTGGGCCATTCTTGTTTCAGTAAAAATTGCTGTTCTTAAGTCGGTGTTGTTCAATAGATTTTAGTGAGATCTGACCTTTTTAGCAAGATATTATTTCTTGTACAGATGATGTTTTGGGCCCTTTTTAAAATTGATCAATTGGGAATGTTACTGTTGAGAGAATCTTAACAGAATCTTAAATGCTTAAAAATAGGAAGAGCTAAATAATTGTTCTTTCCAAGTTGGTAAAGGCTGAAAATTGTTAATTCCTCATTGTAGTCAAAACCTGTAATGTTTCTGCTACTGTTTGCTTTGAAAGAGAAAGACTATGGGAAGAAAGGAAGGGAGAAAATGATAAAAGCTAAAGCAGAATACAAAGGGCTCAAATTAGGAGGAACATAATTCATACAACCTGAAGGATATGCAATAGTGTGAATGCCCAGTTGATTTTACCCTACCTTTATTAGGGATTCTTATTATATCCTTATTATATGTCCTTAAAGGTACCATATGCTTTAAAAATTCTTATAATTTTTAGACAACATTAGAATATGCAAAACCTGAAGAAACCAGTTGGGATGAAGATTTTGCAGATGTTTATCATGATCTGATACATTCTCCAGCTTCTGAAACACTATTAAACCTGGAACACAATTATTTTGTTAGTATCTCAGAATTAATAAGTGAAAGAGATGTGGAACTGAAAAAACTACGAGAAAGGTATTCTTTTTTTTTTAATGTCTTTTAATGTCTTTCTTTAATGTCTTCAGTGTAGGTACACATCACTGGGTGTATACAGCTCATATGACAATGTATGTCAACTCTATTTGATAATATAAGCTCTATTTTAACTCTTTATTTCTCTCTGTTAAGATTAGTCACGTAGCCTTTGTTATTGGGATCAACTATCTTCCATTCTTCCAAGTCACTAAAAATAATAAAAGCTAAGGTCATCTAAATATCATTAGGTTTGATTTCCATTGTTCTATCCGCGTAAGTGGTACAGCAATAGCAAACTGATAAGGATATTTAAAGAGCAAAGTCTGTATGCCATAGCACTTGTACCTTTAGCATAATGTAATCGGAATGAAAAATTGTAAGTTTCACAGCATGGAAAGATAAGCAAAAGGTTTGAACCAACTTCAATTCAGAAACTATTAAATTAGGAACTTGGGAAAGTCTGTATGGCATCTGGAGTTCCCTAGCTTGAAAAGCTGCAGGTGGCTGCTTTGATCACATGGGGGAGCACGTACAATACTTTTTTTTCAGTGGGACTAAGTAGTTTAAGGAGGATGAATGTACACAAAAACGTATAGGTACTAGCTACAAACACTGGGATGCTTGTGAGATGTCAGAATATCCTAAGAAGGTATATTTTAGTTTTCCGGGTGGCTCCTCTTACAATAGGAGCTTAAAATCGTAAGTTACAGTGGATATCTGCTTCTGTAGTTTCTTTTCACTGTTCTTCCAAACTGAATCTTACATGGCTCTGATTTGGAGATAAAAATTGCCAGTGATGTGTGATAGCATAAAATTCTTGCTGCTTATGTACTTAGTACTAAGAGCAGTAGTCTTGGGGAGTTCTAATCAGGTGTAACTGTGTATTGACTCCAGTGAAAGTTACTGTATGTACTTGACGTACTCATGAATTTCCATCGATTGGTGGCAGCTGAGGCTATCCCAGAAGAACTGTAGGTGTTACTGTGTTTACATAGAAGCCTATTTGGAAGCCCTGACCCTCAACTTTTTTTTTTTTTTTTTTGGTGGATGCTCTTTGTTAAATCTGTGGTAGGCTAAATTGAGTCCTTGCTGGAGAACAGGGTGAATGCAAAAGAGGGATTGAAGCCAGGAACTGAAGAAGATTGTGGAGGGACAAAGTATTGGATAAACTGATGATAGCAGGGCAGCCCTTCAGTTCTAGGTTGTGTTTTTGAATATATTGTTTTTAATAGTTAGATTAGCTTCCAGGTGAAACTAATGTGTTTGGCCCACTTCCTGGTGGTTACATGTCTGTATCATCTGCACTGGAGGAAAAAAAAAAATCAAAGGACTAAATAGGTCCAGAACAAAACTGCTTCAAAACAATTACTGTCTCTAGATTATGGTATCTAGCTGGGGACATGGTTAAAAGCTTGTATTGATCTTTATGTCCGTGTTTGTTAACAAGCTTTAATATCTAGGAATTTAATTTGGTACTTTTTATGGGCTCTAAAATTAATTCTTAAACAAAAAACGTTACAAAGTGTGCTTTTTAGAAATGTAATAGCTATTTTAAATTGAAAATATATAAACTCTTAACCTGATGGTTGAGGGACTAGTGTGAACTGATCTTCAGTAAAGGAAAAAATATTCTTGTGGTACTGGGACTGAAAATTTAATACGTTTGTGTCCAATGACTTTTTAATTATTTTTCTGAATCAAATCATTAACTCCTCAGAGGAGTAAAATAATGAAAACCCTGTAACATTGGTAGTATTAGATGTCTGACAAAGTAGCTATTATGAAATGCTTTTCACCTATTGCACTGTTGTACAGTCCCCACTGAAGTCACTAATGCTCCACTTGCAGGGCCATGTTTCTCTTCTGGACCCCTCCCCCAATCCATTCCATGTAAAGGGCTGCTTCTGCTAAGAGGAGCTGTTGATTATTTTTTTCCATGTCCTGACA